TTTAAACTACTAAGAAAAAAAAAAATCTTCTTATAGTTAAGACATAAATAAGTTTAAGATAACATGTTGTTATAATAATTAATATAATTACGAAAATTAGGTTTTGACAGTAGCTCAAAAACTTTAATTTACTAAAATCGTTAAATGTCGAAATGTAGCTTGTAAAGACACCCAACATCTACCACTAAAGTTAATAAAATCGGATTACTTGTTTATCTGTAAGGTTGTAAGAACTCAATTTTCTTATTTCAGTCAAAAACAGTCAAATAAGCTTAAAATAACAGCTTCCACAGGTTTTTAAAAATATAACTACTTTATTAAGGTGCACAAATCAGAAGAAATATAACTATGCACAAACATAACCTGAATTATTTTCTTTTTTGACGGTATCTTGGAAATAACAAATAAAACAATATTCTCTTTTTTATGCTGTGGTTAAAAAATTTAATATGGACGTTAACAAAATCTTCGAAAAATTTTTGTCTCAACATCAGTTCTCAAAATATGAAAACAGTTATAACAAGAGAAATAAGCTAAAGAAACCTAAAATAACTATTTTCACAGGTTTTCTAAAGGAAAGCTACATGATTGACGAGAAGAAATAAGCCGGGGTTTGACTATGCACAAACAATCTCAATTTTCTCGATTTTAAACTGTATCTTAAAAAGGATGTATCAAAAAAAATTTTGTATTTAGTCTGGCATAATTTAAAAATTAATACGGACATTGAAAAAATCGTCGGACAGTTCTTGTTACAACATAACCTCTCAAAACTAGAAAAATTTTTGTATCTCGAAAGGGTAGCCAGATAAGCCAAAAATAATCTCATTTATAGAAAATAAGTCTTGAGGTGTGAAAATGTATGTTACAGGGATTTATACAAACAATCGATCGTAATAATTAGAAAAATTGTACAAGTCATATTTTAAAGGCAAAGCTATATCCTACATCTCATGCTTATTAATTGATTTTTTTTCTATTGCTTGCCATTAGTGACAAGAATAATTGTCACGTTACCAAATCCAATAAAGTACAGGTAAATTTTAGTATTAAATTATAAATAACTATACAAAATTAACTGCATTAAAAATACAACTCAACAATAGAAAATAGCTGTGTGAATGGTTTTTCTTAATTACACTTAAATAAAGTGGATTACTAGGATTTTATGGTAGCGAGAATTCAAAAAAAGTTTTTATTTGTTTAATAAAAAGATTCTAACAAGAGTGACAATTGACGTAAAATCTGAGGCTCTTTTACTTATGTTGAGAGGGTAAGTATGATTTTTTACTGATGCTGCACCGATTGAAGGAGTTTTTGACCCACTTAACAGGACAAAAGTCTCTTTTTCCATGCAGTATGATGAAAATTTCTATTTTTTTTTGCACTAATGACCAATAATTTGTACATATAATAATATGTATATTATAGCAAACTTGGAGGAACAAAGAGTGCGCTTATCAGGCCAACGTAAGTAGTATTTAAGAAAATGTTTTTGAAATGCGTGTACATGCTCGAATACATAAAAATATTTAAAATTTTTTGTATTTATATGAGATTATTAAAGAACTTTTGAAATTAAGTGTATCCTAATTTTCTTTGTTATTATTGCATTAAGTTTAACAACATACCAGTTGAAAGTCTCACTTCAGCCATGGATCCCGAGACTTACACTTGGTCTTAATTTTAATTAGCTGAGTCTAACTATTATTATGAAAAAAGGATTTTTTCCACAGACTGATTTATTTTAACACATTTTTTGCCAACGATCTTTTCTGGAAATATATGTTATCAACAAACTTGTTGTAAGTTACACAAAAATTTTTATAAAACATAGTTTAAAGGAAAATACAATAAAGTGATTGTAGCAGTAATAGTGTTAAAAAAAAAAAAGAAAAATTTTTCATCTTCTAATACAATCAACAAAATGCCTTTTTAAAAAAAAAACTAAAAATAAAATTGGCTTATAAGACTGTACGTTTTTTTTGAAACTCTTAAACTAGTCTTATGATTCACAGTAGTCAATCAGAACTATTTAATAACTTAACTTCCTTACTTAATAGACCAATATGTCTCGTGTTGTATATTTTGTCCAGTTTTTTCTGCAAATACAAACCTTGTGGCTGTCGAAGCTATTTATTACAGATATCCTGTGGCTTTGATACCTTAACAATAGGCTACCTTACTGCCCAACGATATTTTTGAAAAGCTGGTGAAGTTACTGAATTCTGTATTGGGTACCGACAACACACTGAATTATTTATTTAGGAATAAGGCAGGTGTTAAGACATGAGCCTTCCTAAATGTCGTTGGAATTTCTTTTACGTTTTACTTTCACTTAATTAGATTTTTGTAATTTGCATATTTTATTAGTGACAATTCTCTGGATGGCAACATATTTGTCACGACGGCAGAAATAAAAATGAGTGTCTCTTCACATGTAATTTTGCTTATGCGCAGTAACACTTAACTCTCAGGAAAAGTAGGTCGCAAAAATATAACCGATCAGCATAAATTAAAAATAATGTTGACTGACCAAAGCAAAATTTATAATATAAGGCTTTAATTGTTTTTAAAATAATATTAAGGAATAATGTACTAAAAAAGGCATCTTCTCAGCTTTTTTTAAGTGTTGATCTAGCTGACCATTGTCAATAATCTAATTAAAAATGTTTTATCATTTATTAACAGATCCTTATTTTAATATGCTCACTAGGTATACGTGTTACAAGATGCTACTAAATTATTTAAATTTTGTATTGAAAATATATGATGTACATTATTTTTTAATAAAAATTGATGTACGATATAATTATTGTTAATGATGTTTATTTTGTAGCAGTTATTTTATAACACGTTTATAGCATAAATGTGTACAGTGTATGTTTATAGTGTTTATAAAGCATTTGGTAAATCAAGCAGGTTCTTTTATTAAAAAAAATTAAAAAATAAGCAATTGCACTTATTTTATTTGCATAAGCCATAACACATACTCACATAACTTTTTCATTCAGAACAGAAAAACAGAGAGTACCACATCCTCATAGTTCACTGTGGTACTCTAAGATGGCTTAGAATTACAAGCCATGTTAATTGTGATAAACTTAACGGTTTCTTTTATTTAACGGCCATTTGAGACTTTATGTAATATGCAAAGTTATCTTATGGCATGAAAATTAATGTTACAAATTGGAAATTACTATTATTATGATGAACTGTTAACCAAAATAATGAAACTTCATAATTCAAAATAACAAGATATGAGAGACTTTCTTACAAGTTTTATTCATATTATAAGTTTGTATGAAGTCTATTCACTTAATTCACGTTCAGTGTGAGAAAAAAGATAAAACTTTTTTTGGAAGTTATTTTAATTTTACTTAAATAGCTTTATTAATTGAATTTTTCGATAATTTTAGAGATCATTATGTATTATTTATATATAGAATGTGAGGGTACTGTTGAGAGACAAGAAAAGACAAGGTAGGACTGAGAAGGGGCACTGAACACCTTTTGGGAGTAGGTGGTGGTTATTAAAAATACGCACTACAAATAAATATATCATATTCAGAAGTACTTTTGTGTGAAACTACAAAGTATCCTACATGTAGTGAGTACAAACTAACCTTACTACCTTTAAAGTAGGCCTGATAGTTTTAGTTCTATGTATATACATTTATTATATTTTGTAGGAATATTTTACTTAAAATGAGCTAGCTTAAATTCTTCTGATAGGCAGATCAAAGGTAAACATAATATTTTTATTTAACATTATAAATTTTTTACTTTAACGTCAAGAAGATTTAATATGTCATTGGAATATTCTGTTGTAAACATTCTGTTTATTGGCATGAGTTTCTATCCTAGTGACAGCCCTATTTTAATCCGTTTTTATTGTATGATAACTTAAAAACTTTTTCTACCAATATAATAGAAAGAAATGTGAAGCTAATTCTTTGAGAAATAATTTATAATAACGTTTTAATAGCATTGCAGTTTTACATGACATGTATAAATGGTACAGGGGTTGTAACAACTATTTCTTACATCTCTTTTTATACATCGTCTTTTACTTTCCTACACGTATGGAATGACTAGTTCTTGACAAATATTGATCTTACACAAGCTACACGAATAATTTACTAATCAAAAACGTTTAGTCCTACTTGTATCACAAATTAATTATATGTACTGAGCAGTATGTTCGCTGGATGCAAGTCATAAACAAACGTAAAGATCAACTATAGTAGCATTTCTGGTAAGAGAAGTGAAAACTTGTAGGACTTTTTGAATTTGATATATTCTTGACTATGGCTCTTTTAACTATTAAATTACCTTGCATTGTCGGAACAGTAGCGTTAAAATAATTTAGGTATTGTTTAACGCATGCCTAATACTTTTAAAACTAAGTTAGGAAACATTATGAAAAAGATGGTTAACCATCAATAAAAGAGCTAAAGAGAAATAATATAGTGGTCTAAAATAATCTGTAAAGACGTCATTTGCTGTAACTAACGTCATTCTCCTGTGACTTGATCAGTGAGATAAGTTTACGTAGATTTAACACAAAAATCTTTAGGTTATGTTACTGACTTCTATGTTGCTTCAGTTTTATCATCAGAAATGTTGGTCTCACCATTTTTTTTACCTTTAAGACTAAAAACAACTACAATATGAATAGTTTCTAAAACTTTCATAACTTTCATGCTTAGTACTATTATAACAATGTTAACTCGCATCGTTTTAACTTAATGTGCAAAAAAATCCTGAAGATTCCTACAAGCTTACACTTTTCTGGCACGACATGAGAGCCATAACACTTGCAGTCAGCGAATCACCCACACATTATCATCGTCTTGTATCAAAACTTTTTTTCTCACCAGGGGTATTTTAAGCCTTTAACTATCTTATGCACATAGTGATTTATCAATTTTTCATATCTTGTATCTCATTTTATTATCCTGGTGACATGGTACTTACTCTTTCAGGATTATCAAAAGGTGTGGGCTTCATTAGATTTGATCAACGCATCGAAGCAGAACGTGCCATCCAAGAACTGAATGGTACAATTCCAAAAGGCTCATCAGAGCCAATTACCGTCAAGTTTGCCAACAATCCTAGTAATAATAACAAAGCTATACCACCATTGGCAGCATATCTGACACCTCAGGCAACTCGCCGATTTGGTGGTCCAATCCACCATCCTACCGGTCGCTTCAGGTACATTCCACTGTCGCCACTATCCAGGTACCTACTTGCCTCTACTCACTCTTTCCAACAAGATTAAATGGACGACGTAACAGCCAATTTTTACAAATACAAATTGTTTTTTTTGGCTTGGAAAAAATATCGTTCTATTTAAAACTTTTTTTCGCCAATTAATACTCCTACAAACCTGCATGCATACAAAGTGAAACATCCTATGGCTTTTTTTACTATTTATCCTTATTTATTCGTTAATTAATTTGTAGTTACAATATCCTAACAGTACTTTTAGTAAAAGTAATAAAATTGTATATTTTTTATTAATTTAGGCACTACTATTTTCCAACTTTAATTTCCTAATGTGTATGATAGTTACGTTTTACATATTTTTTTTCTTTTTTTATTAGATTATATTTTTCTGCAACACTTACACTCTTCTAACTACGTTCAGACTGCATAACATGACATTTATTGTCATCGATTAATTCACTTCTTACACATCTCTATTTGAGATGCTTAATTTATTTCGTGTCAAATTTAATAAACTTCTACCATCATATAAACATTTTTTAATATTTAAATTACTGTGGAAGTGCCGATGCACTTATTTTGAGAATTAGTTTACATGAATATGAGCCACAACACATACGAAATATGCCTTAACTATGCTACGTGTTAAGAAAAGTTCTTATGTAACTTAGGGCCACCAATAAAAATTTCCAGTGGTTGTAGTAAAGGCAATTAAAACTGCAAAAAATAAGAGACTGTTAATATTTGGTAAAAATACGTTACTAATTTTTAAAGATCTATAACTTTTGATTGGTGGCACTAAATGCTACAAAACTTCATTAAGTTTATAGAGCTGAATTCAAGCTTTTGGTTAAGCTTTATTAGAGCCTCTTAAGATGGTGATCTACTTCGTCACTAATTTGAGAATAAGTATACTCATTAAGTGATGTATCTCACGAAAAAGAACTTTTCGAATTAAATGCCAAGACATGTGTTCGATGTTTTATTTTCACAATGGTGAAAAAAAGTTTTGTGATGGTCTGTTTCTTTCAAGTGTAAAAAAAAAATACTTTTATCGTCAAGGTTACTGTAAAGCAAAGATAAGGACAGCACTTTAATTTTTAAGAATCTTGTACAGCTCATAGACACGATGTGAATTTTTTGTTCTGTGTATTTCAATTTTCTTACAAACACGTGCATTTTAAAAAATATATCTATGAGACGTTCCACGTCAACCGGGCCACCACTGGGAACAAAAATTGTAAAGCTTAAAAAAATCGTGCAAGGGCTCAAAATTTTTGTATTGAGAACGTCCTTCAAATGTCAAGTGGCATATTAAAAAATTCAATATGGCTGGTCCAATATGGCGGCCACAAGCCGTGTCCAGCAAAAAAAGGTTGTGAAAATGAAAATTCACAACGGACCAGGTAGTTTTATGGCCTATGGCCAAAATTGTACCCGATAGATGCCCCTGAAAAAGTTGCGTGGTTAGAAGACGAAATCCAAAATGGCGGATTCAATGATACTAATAAGGTAAGATAAATTAATGTTATTTTGAAATTTAATGTAGAACTAGTGCTATATATATATGCCCTATAGTGTCTTTTTTCAGTTTATTCACTTTTCGACCTTCATGTAAACATCGAGCTTACACACTGTACCGGCGAATACAAATCTATAACGTAAGGGTATGGTTAATCTATCACCACTTATATCGCAACGAAGTTTATTTGTTTCTAATCCAATAGGTTAGCACATACTTTGGGTCAAAAATATAGACTATCACGCATTAGCCCTTAGTTACAAATCTGAGTAGTGAGACAGCATATTATGATGGTGAATTCTCAAACTGTACCATACATGTGAATAATTGTGGCCATTATGAGTCCATGTTTGAAACTTAAGAAAACTTATAACTTTAACGTTTGTTTTTGTCCAACAACTTGTATAATTTTTTAAGGAACAAATATATATATGTGTGGGACATTCCACGTCAACTGGGCCACCGCTGGAAGCAAAAATTGTAAAGCTTTAAAAAATTGTGCAAGTGCTCAAAATGTTTGTATTGAGAACCTTCTTTGAATGTCAAGTAGCATATTGATAAATTCAATATGGCTGGTAAAATATGGCGGCCAGAAGCCGTAGAGGAATTATGAGTACAGAAAAAAAGGTTGTAAAAATGAAAATTTGCAATGGACCAGGTAGTTTTGTGGACAAAATTGTACCGCATAGATGCCCCTGAAGAATTTGTAGGGTAAGTAGACAAAATCCAAATTGGTGGATTCAATATGGAGGTCCAACATCCAATATGGTTGCCAAATTTTTAAAAATCAATCAATTTACACTAAATTCAGTATACGGGTGTTTCATAGGTCACTGATCACGAATTTAAGGTCAGACTTGCCAAATTTAAAATGGTAGATTCAAGATGGCGGACAAAATTTATGAAAATCAACTGATTTGTACAAAATTTGGTACAAGGGTGAGTTTGACGCCGTTGATTATGAACCTAATGACAGACTTCTAACAGTAAAGATGGTTGACTCTATATTACAACAATTTTAAAACTCAGTCCATTATATTTCATCAGTCACATTGAATTTTTCAAAGTGCTATGTGGATTTTCAAAGCTCATCTGTTTCAAAATATTTTGAGCCCTTACACAATTTGTTTTAAACATGTCAATTTGTTCCCACGGGGCCAACTCTGGGAGTGCAAATTGTAGAGCTCAAAAAATTGTGCAAGGGCTTCAAATGTTTGTTTTGAAAAGCTCGTTTGAACGTTAAATGGTATTTCAAGAATTTTTTAAATGGTACCTTGAAAATATTTAGAAGTATGTGAGGATTTTTAATAATTAAACATAAAAGGGTTTTAGAATGACATATGGATTTCACATAATCATGCGATTTTCAAAATGGCTGTTGAAATTGTCAGTACTAAATTATCGTATCTTAAAAGGAATGGTACAAAAGAATGAGTGACAAGTTATAATTAGTATTACAAGCCATATTATTTATTTGAGGATCGAATACTTAAAGCTCGGATTTTACGTAAGTTTTTTTACAAACAATTTTTTGTTTAACTAATACATAATGAATTTAGTGCATAAGATTGTCGATATCAAAACTTTAAATAAATCATAATAATATTGTATAATAGTTATAGGGCTCACAGCATCTTAATATCTTTTAACTTCTTATCATTTTTCTCCGTGCATTCAAAATGCGTGGCCTTTATGGATATTCATGACAGGTGGAGCACTAAAAAATTGACGTGAAAGGTGCTTTTGCGTTATTTTGTGGAGTTTTTTACTATATAACATTATTTTCATGTCAGGAAACTTTTTTTTCCTCATGTATACAGAGCTTTAGGTGTCAAAATGGCTTCATTTGGCTTATCCTAAACACTTGCTTTTGTGGCTTTTCTTTTTAATGTAGCACCTAAGCCATCACAAACATACTTTCCATGAGCAATGGTATGACAGTTCCACTCAGCCAAAACAGAAAAATCTTTATAATGATGAACTGAATTACATATTTGAAAACGGTTTTTAAAGTTTTGTATGGCTCCATCAGAAACTTATTCCAATTTTGTCATATTCGGACACATTTTTTTTAATTTCTGGTATGATTTTTTGTTGCATTACGTATACAGCAGCTGTATCATGGCTCATACTGTTGGATAAGAGGATAAAACTACCATGCTTAATATCTTGTCCTGACTTCTAATAACAAGTAACTGGGAAAACAGTTCATTGATTATTATTGTAGTAGAAGGCTTGTACCACGTCTTGTACTACAAAAGCAAAGTTTTCGGAAAAGTCCAGTTGAACGAGTACTTTATTTTGACTTAGATTTTTTGTACGATTAGACACGTATGCTTGCTGACTTTTTGAAATAAAATGATAGGGTATGAATTCTTCCAATTTATTAATAAAACTCAAACGAAGTCATCAACAGGAAGACATTTTTTCTTAAATGTGCATCTATCTGCAGATTTTCACAAACTAAAAATTATTTTTTCCATACCCTGTGATTCGAAAATGTTAGATACGTAAATTTTTAATATTTTAAATTTCGGACATGATTGAGACTCATTCAAAAAGCAATCAGGCTGTGTATTTTTACATTATGTAAATTTCAAGCAGTCGTTATAGTTCTGTATTTTATTTTGTAAATTTTCTGTCATGTTTTGTAAATCGGAAGCATCAAGCATATTTTTGAAATTCTCATGTACTGGACATACACATACACTGTGTCTCTGTTTATCACCATCAAGTATCCACCACTTTGGTCTGAGCTCAGCAAACTCGCTTAAACTTACTGGATTTTTTGTATTCAATTTTATAAAATCTTTATATAAAACACATAGATCTGAGAGAAGTAAACGTTTCTGTATTTTCATGTCTTTCCTCGTCCTTTCTTACAATAACAGCATTCTTTTTGCTCACCATATGCCGACTATTTTTATCTGACTCATAAAAGCTCGGACGATAAAGTTTTACCTGCTCTCAGAGATATATTAGTACAATACCCTTTAATTTTTTTCAAATTCTTGCTTTTTCAGCCATCCTTCTTGAAGTTTCAAATTATTTAGCTACTTTTCGTGTTGACTAAAAATCAGGAGCTGTTGTAAGTATTTCTACGCATAAAGGGTCGTGAGGTGGCAAACTTTCGAATCGTTCTTTGAGTCCATTTAATAATTGTTCCAATTCGTCTTCTCAAGAAATGCATGATTTTTTTGCTGGAGAACAATCAACATCTTTTTGGACATATAACTGTTTTTTAAAGAGTTATTTTGATTCTGAGAAACTGCACTATCTGACAGAAGTTTACTATTTTTATGATGAAGTTTTAGACAATCCATACAAATTTTGGAAAAGTTTGAGCAATGTGGAAAAGATTCCAACATACTCTTGGTCATATTTCTCCAATTTCTTCCTTTGTGACAACGAATTCTAAACGGATTAGCACATTTATCTAAATGTAGGCTTTTCGCAACATTTTCTTGAGGAGTAGACTTAACATGCCTTT